ATGGTGGAGTGGAGAGAGCACTCAAGCTATAGGGCTAGAAGCCAGGCTAGCACCATAACGCAACACAACAGACCAGAACAGAGTGGTGCTGAGCAGACAGGCCCTCTAATGCTCTTTCCTTTTCGTGTCTCAGCGGTGATGCTTCCTGAGAGCCATGGTGCGTTGCATGAAATGGCATCATCCAAACCGAACGCACAAACACCTTTTCAAGCTTTTGTCTTGTCTTGTCAGCCTGATTTCACGTGCTAATTAGTGTAGGACGGTAGCATGGCTAACATGAGAAAACCTATTTTCACACAAGCCAAAACACACACTCATGCTCAGCACATGGCAGAATTTAAGCAGGTGTGTTTAACCAAAGTGACAAACAGTATAGAGCCAGAATCTATTGTGTTTCTATCATCACCGTACAGCTTGGTGTATGAGGACACATCTGGTGAGGGGCCATAACTGGGTCATATGCACAGTTTTTGTGGTCAGAGGAGAAAACTTTGTTTCTGCTAGTTTATTCCACATTTTTAAATACTAATAATGAGTCCCACTGTGGTAACAACAAATCATTACATTTGTTATGAGCACCTTAAAGCTCTCATTCACTCGTCTTTTCTATAAATCCGCTGTGGCCTCTCGTATAAACAATACTCCATGAGTCCATTTCTGTGGGAAAAAAAAAACTGGCGCTCCTGTTTCTGCAAGTGAATGTTAGAAGGAAACCACATCTTACCTCTGATTGGCTAACATTAATTTGACTCTTCCACTGCCTTCATTCACTCCATCCATCCATTTTCATCTGCTTATCCGGAGTCAGGTCACGGGGGCAGTAGCCTAAGGCAAGAGGCCCAGACTTCCCTCTCCCTAGCCACTTTGGCCAGCTCCTCCAGGGGAATCCCAAGGCGTTCCCTGGCCAGGTGAGAGACATAGTCCCTCCACCGTGTCCTGGGTCCACCTTTAGGTCTCCTCCCGGTTGAACATGCCCAGAAAACCTCACCAGAGGGAGGCGTCCAGGAGGTATCCTGACCAGATGCCCAAGGCACTTCAACTGGCTCCTCTCAGTGTGGAGGAGCAGCGGGTCTACTCCGAGCCCCTCCCGGATGACCGAGCTTCTCACCCTATCTCTAAGGAAGAGCCCAGCCACTCTTCGGAGAAAACTCATTTCGGCCGCTTGTATCCGTGATCTCGTTCTTTCGGTCACTACCCAAAGCTCATGACCATAGGTGAGGGTAGGAACGTAGATCAACCGGTAAATCGAGAGCTTCATCTTCTGACTCAGCTCTCTCTTCACCATGACAGACCGGTACAACGCCCGCATCACTGCAGATGCAGCACCAATCTGCCTATCGATCTCACCCTCCAGTTTTCCCTCACTCGTGAACAAGACCCCAAGATACTCAAACTCCTCCACTTGGGGCAGGACCTCATCCCTGACCCGGAGAAGGCATTCTACCCTTTTCCGAATCAAGACCATGGTCTCAGATTTAGAGGAGCTGATTCTCATCCCAGCTGCTTCACACTCGGCTGCGAACCGCTCCAGCAAAAGCTGAAGATCACGTTCTGATGAAGCCAACAGGACCGAATCATCTGCAAAAAGCAGAGACCTGATCCTCAGGCCACCAAAACGGATGCCCTCCACACCTTGGCTGCGCCGAGAAATCCTGTCCATAAAGGTTATGAACAGAATCGGTGACAAAGGGCAGCCTTGGTGGAGTCCAACTCTCACTGAGAACGAGCCCGACTTACTGCTGGCAATGCGGACCAAGCTCTGACATGATCATATAGGAACGTAACAGCCCATATCAGAGGGCCTGGTACCCCATACTCCCGGAGTACCTCCCCGAGGGATGCGGTCAAATGTCTTCTCCAAATCCACAAAACACATGTAGACTGGTTAGGCGAATTCCCACGCACCCTCCAGGATCCCACTAAGGGTATAGAGCTGGTCCAGTGTTCCACGGCCAGGATGAAAACCACATTGCTCCTCCTGAATCTGAGGTTCAACAATCCGACGGACCCTCCTCTCCAGAACCCCTGAATAGGCCTTACCAGGAAGGCTCAGGAGTGTGATCCCCCTGTAGTTGGAACACACCCTGCAGTCCCCCTTTTTAAATAAGGGAACCCCCACCCTGGTCTGCCAGTCCAGTGGGACTGCCCCCGATGAGAGCCGTGTCAGCCAACACAGCCCCACAACATCCAGAGCCTTAAGGAACTCCGGGCGGATCTCATCCACCCCTGGAGCCTTGCCACAGAGGAGCTTTTTAACCACCTCAGTGACCTCAGCACCAGAGACTTGAGAGGCCAACTCAAAGTCCCCAGACTCTGCTTCCTCACTGGAAAACGTGTCGGTGGGATTGAGGAGGTCTTCGAAGTATTCTGCCCACTGATCCACAACGTCCTGAGAAGTGGTCAGCAGCACATCGTCCCCACTACAGATAGTGTTGGTAGCGCACTGCTTTCCCCCCCACCACCATCTTGATGTGGCACACGTGTAAGGTGGGATGGATTATCTCAGCAAAGCACAGGTGCTCACTATCACACATTTAGACTGATTTGTGGACAATGTTTTAGAGAAATGTTAATATTGTGTATCTGGAATGAATTTTAGATCTTTAAGTCCATCTCATGAAAAATCGGAGCAGAAACAAAGGTGTTGCGTTTATATTTTTGTTGAGTGTATTTAACTTTTTTATTTTTATTTTTGCCTTTAAGTATTTTTATAGCTCCAGAAGTTTTAGCTAAATAAACAAAATGCTGTTATTAGCATAAACACATCAGTCAGATTTTTTTAACGTCACAAGCTGTTGCAGTAATCAGATCTTCATTACATGTGCCACAGACAATATTATAAAGGACAGTTTCTAAATAACCCTGCTGTTTATCCTCCTAATACTGCACACTGAGCCAGTTAGTGTCACTAATGTTTTAGTTTAACCTCTCCCAACGTTGTCATCTGGTTCAAAGTTTCATTACAAATGTTACTATTCCTTTGCTTCACTGAAGACTAGAGTGTTTATTATGGTGCCAGCTGAACTGGTGTGTATTAATAGAATGATCAGACTTCCTCACACCCTCAGTTGGGTTTCCTTCAAAAAAGAAAAAGAAAAGAAAAACAGACACATGCTATCCAAACAGACTGATTGCTGCCTTGCAGAGGTGCTGATTACTTAAAAAAGTCAGGTAATCAGTTACCCCCAGTGTGGGCTGAGGCCAAGCCAGAGGCAAAGCGCAGCTGAGGCGATTTCACTAATGAGAGTCTAAATTAGCGTCGAAGAGATGCATCCCAGCATCTCTCTCTAACCCTACACACACACACACACTCTCTCTCTCTCTCTCTCTCACACACACACACTTTCGTGACTCTTTGACACGTTGACAATAAGGGTCTTTCTACTTACAGGGTTGTCTGCTTTGCACTTTATACCACGTCTCTAATTACAAGTGTGGTAATAGCTCCACTGTTTTCTCAGTGAAGTGCCTTGAGTTGTGTTTGGCTAACCGTTTAGAAGTGCAGGGGTGACATCGATACACAACCTCTCCTCCAACCTGACCCCGCCACTCACGGCTCACTGAGTTTGCCTTCTTTCTGTTTCTGTATTTTTAGAAGAATCATAATTGCACAGCTGATTAGAGGGGTCACCTTGAAAAATGTCCTTCTCTTTTTTAGTGTGTGTGTGTGTGTGTGTGTGTGTGTGTGTGTGTGTGTGTGTGTGTGTGTGTGTGTGTTACAGCAGTGGCTTAGGCATTTTAGGCCATAAACATGCATGTTTTTTTACAACAGTGAGTAGTTTCCGGCTCCTCTGCTCTACTGGTTGTTGTCGTAAACAACACTGCAGTCTAGCTAGTGCTAACAACAAGCCAACACTAACATGAGCCAACTAATACTAAAATAAACCACAAAGTAGAAAGATCCACACTGTTGCACAAAAAATATTATTACTTACAAGTCCAGTAGCAAGAAAGCCAAGTCACCATCAGTCCGTGATTTTGTAGGCTCCTCTAGCTCCCTCCAACTAGCATAGGCCTCACCGATGTTCACTCTGGTTTTAGCTCTTTGCTTCGCCTACAAATATGTTACTCTCTTACTTTTACTTCCAGGCTCCGCCATGATGCCAACAGGAAAAGCAAACTTATTTTACTTCTTCTGGTGCTTAAGCACTAGCATTACAGATAACAGCCATAAAGCAGATCAAGAGTGCCCCCTAGGACACGTAACCACTCTAAAAATCTATCTAGTTCAGTTTCTGGTCAGCAGAAGGCTACAGAGTGGTGTCAAAAATGAAACTGGCCAAGTTTCTAACTCAGCAATCACTGAGAATGATGTTAAAGCTCAAGTATAAACTCTAAATTACTATCTAGTGCTCCTTTAAAACTGCATTTCCTATGGTGTCCATCTAGAAATAAAGAACTGGATCCACCTTGTTTTCATTGTGAAGCACATAGGCACACCAAGCCTGTAGGTGGCAGTATTTCCCCAAATCTCCTGCATCTTTACCGCAAAACCTTCCTTAGACATGTAGACAGCGTCTGAGAAGATGGATAAAACACGTGTAAAAGTCTGTAAATAATTCAGAATGCATGATTAGTGTGAATGAAGACTTGTGATCTACCGTATAAGATCTATCACCAGGAGACCTCCCGGCCTTCAACCGTAAACCCTCTCAGGGAGCCAGAGAGCTTCCATGATCTTCACACATGGGTGACTTCAAGTTAGATGACCTATATAACATGTTACACGCCCCGCTAGCTCCCATGTCTCACCCTGATGCAGAAGAGCAGCACATTACAGGTGTGCCAGCCTCCGATACATGCACACACACACACACAGAAAGAGGGGGAGGGGGGAGAGGGAATCACAAACAAGCCATCCATCTGGATTATGCAGCTCATATGATCGTAAACACAACCTGTCTCCCTACCTGCTTTGGTTCAGGTCTCATAGGGCTCATATTTTACACCAGTGGAGCTCATGTGAGAATATTTCTCCTGTCACACCTCTGATTGAGCAGGTTGCTGTTTATGACCACATCTGGACAGCAGAGGACCCCCTACTGAGCTCTGGAGCACCCTCTGATGGGGAGGGTGCGCCCCCACCTGAGGGTGAGACCAGCACCCATGTCATAATCTACACCCTGTACCCGAGTGGGATCAAACAAAGATACAGGCACTTCCTCCGCCAACCCGATGGAGCCATCACTGAGGTGAGACTGAATGAGACAGCTCTTTATAGTCATGGTCTAACCGTAGCTCTGCTGAGAAAATACAATTCTCCTTCGTTATTCTTTGTGACATTTCTTTAAATCAAAGAAAAATCCTTGTCACACCTTTACTGCCTGGCCAGGTGCAAAGAACAAAACCAAACTTTGCAGATTTGATCAGAGTATTATTGATACTATTTACAGAAGAGGAAACAGAAGCATTCCTACTGAAACCAAAAAGGGACTGGCTGACGTTTAATGTAGCAGCAGCTGAAATAACCTGAACTCAGCAGCATCCTGTGGTTGCACAAATCCTTTTCCAAAGAGAAAATAAAAATGGTGTTTGCTTTGTAAAAGGAAATCCACGAGAGCTACCGAGCTTTAGTGCAGGAGGAGAGAAAGTTGCATGAAAATTAAATATATTTGTTCCAATTCAGGTCTGATTAGATTTTATGAAGAGAAACAACAGGGTCGAGTAGGGGGACGGCAAAAAGAAGGAAGTAAATAAAGAGAGCTGAACAACCACCAAGAGGTCATTCTGTTTTCCCTTGAGCAAAATTAGATTTGATTTCATTTAAAATTTTCATTGCAGACATAAAATTAATACATTTTCATACTGAAAACATTTGCATTAAGTGCTGCACCGTCAAAACCCAGCACTCAATTAAATCCTGACTCAGGAAAACATTTGAAACTGAAAAGTGCTTTATTTTTTAAACAACGTCCTCTTTTCCCCACCTACTGTATTGATTCTCCTCCTGCATGCATGTGCAGAAGAGGCAGGCCAGGCTGATCTGAGAGGCGGGTGCCTAATTAAAGCAGCACTTGTGACAACTGCTGCAGCAGCAAGAACATTTCCTGTCCTCAATCATCCCGTCGCACCCCGAGCGACCCAAATCCTCCCGATAAAATTAATACTTTTAAGTTTATACATCAAATAAGTGAGAAGAGAAAACATTAAATGCACCAACAATTAGCTGTGAGGCGTCCCTAATGGTTTGTATTTGAGTGTGTGTTTTGCAGATATTTTTTTTCAAAAATATGAAGAAACAATGAACATAAACACTCCCCTTAAAATAGTAATTTAAATAAGTAATAATAAAAAGACTCCACACACACTTCCAAGTGGGAAAACATTTGTTTATTTTTTTAGATTTTTGTCCAGAACTTTGCTGTTAGAAATCCTGCAGATGCCACCTTCCGTCCTTGGAAAATCCCCACACACACACTCCTCTCTCGCATCCCTGCTCCCACACACTCCGCGTCTCCTGGGTGTCTGTTTCCTGCAACTTCTCAGCCTAAGACTGTAGCCGGTGGCTCCCTCTTTTACCCGTCGGTAGCGGGGAGCGATAACACAATGCCGATCCCCTTCTCCTCGCAGCGCAGACCCTCACTTTACATATTCAACAGTAATCCTCCCCTGAATATGTAGGACTGGTTTCATGTATAGATCTAGGAATCACTGAAGGCACTTGGAAGAACACTTGAGCTGATTTTATTAGTGGTTCCTATAATTCTGGAGGTAATATACACACGACAAAAGGGCGCTGAAGACAAACTGGCCTCAAGATGGGAGACGAAAGCTCCCAAGAGGGGAAAAAAGACAACTTAAAAGGCACGTGAATGATCATTAATCTGATAAAGAACTGAAAATAAAGAGCATTTTTATTATAAGAGGGGATAAATATAGTAAAAGAGAATCTATTAACTTAAATGTTGCATCATAAAACAGAATTACAGAGTCAAATCTAAGGGCATTTTGACATAAAGTAACATTTAAGGTAACACTGAGCAGTTTCCTGCTCCCTGCCCTACTGGTTAAAGGTGGAATTACCACTGTTGTAAACAACCCTGCTGCAGCCTGCTGTAGCTAGTGCTAACAACGGGCTAACACTAAAATCAGCCAACTAACACTAAAACTACAAAGTAAAAAAATCCACACCATTGGACCAAACATCTTAGTGTAGGTTCAGTAGCAACAAAGCCAGGTCACCATCAGTCTGTGATTGTGTAGCCTCCTTCATCTCCCTCAAACTAGCGTAGGCTGCGCCGCTGTTCACTCTGGTTTTAGCTCTTTGCTTTGCCTCCAAAGACATTACTCTGTTACTTTAACTTCCAGGCTCCGCCATGATGCTAACAGGAAAAGAAAACGTCTTCTTGAGGTTTTCACAGATCATCAGCAAACTGAAAATGCTAACAGCTAGCATTACAGCTAACAGCCATAAAGCAGCTAAAGATTGCCCCCTATAGGTCACATACCCACAAAACAATGCCGTTTTTGGTCAGCAGAGGGCTACAGAGTGGTGTCAAACATGAAACTGGTCAAGTTTCTAACGCAACAATCACTGAGATCAATGTTAAAGCTGTAGCTTAACGTTTAAGTAACTATTTAGTGTTACTTTAATAGATTGAATAGTTACCTGACCTTCTTCTTTACAGAGGATGGCTCATTTTTCGACAGCATTCTGTTTTTGCAGGTAGCGTCCTGCACCGAAGTGCCCTAAAACGCTTCTTCACCCCCACCCCCCAGAGTAACATGACCACAGCTCCGGGCGCAAGCAGCTTCACATAATACCCTCAAATTTACACCCAAAATGTGTCCAAATGCACCTAAACCAGCACATCGTTGAAGAAATGCCCTGAGCGATGGAAACTGTAAGACACCGTTTGGCAGGAGCAGAACTCTTAGGTGTGTCTCGGTTGATTTAAGACAGACTCATGAGAAACTATTGTTTATTCAGCTTGTTGCAGAACCATCTAAGTTCTGTTTGTCCATTAAAAAATGCTAGAAAAGGAGGAAAAACGAGTGGGAAATGTGCAAAAACACCAGAATAATGAAGTCTTTATTGACTTGCGCTGCGAATTCTGTTTAAAAAAGTGAATATTAATGAACCATCATGAGCTTTCATGGCGTGTGTTGCCCAGGGCAGGTGTGTGTAATGCTCACCATGTTGAAAGAATCTTCTCGCTGAATCACAACAATAGAAAAAAGTTAAAGCTTCTTTCCCATCAACGCGCTCCAATAAAAACCATTAAAGGTAAAGTGAGGTGTAGCTTTTCAAACACTCATTACCTATAAACAGATGTTGCACAGCTGCCAACTCACAAAATGCGCTGCTGACAACAACTGTTAGGGCCAAAATTATGCAGGGAAATGCATCCATATAAGCTAGGACCTTTAGAGGAGGACTCATAACCACTCTGTCTGTAGCAACAAGATGGCTGATGAAGAAATTAATGCAGGCAAAGTCATTATCTTCCCTCCTAAAACCACAGTGGGTTTATGTCCCCCTGTGCCGCTTTTTCTCTGAGGCTAGCGTTTAAGTGTCGTTGGACTTATAAAAAGGTAGGACAAGCCAACTGTGCTGCTTTTGTCTCCGTTCCTCCATATGGGTGACAGCAGCATATGCACGAACTGGCTCAGCTTCTGTAAAACTTCCATTAAAGATGCACAACTAAGGCTCCGCCAGCTTGGATATTACCTCTCCCTGCAAATTATTTATGGCTCGGAAAAAACGCTGATGATGAGCATCTCAGGCGACTTGTGTAAAAAACACTTTTTGTGTTGTTTTTTGTTTATTTTTTGTTTCCCCCACCTCTTTTTCTAGGGGACGCACTTTGCCTCAGAAACAAAAGGTTTGCAGTTTATTTGATAGTAAGGTTTTACCATCTTGACTTGTAATTAGCTAGCTTCAGCAGAGGAGAATGAAATTAGCAGAGGTTATCTGATTTGTAGCATGCTATGAAGCTAACAAACTTTAGCTTTTTCATTAAGAAGGACCTTTTCTCAACTCGAGACTCAGACTAGCGTCCATCTCCGCGCGATGAAGGCACCTCGCCGGACCAATATTGACCTAATTTAGCATGCAGAGAATTTGAAGAAGTTAACCTTTCTGGGAAACACCTTCCAGCAACATTAATTGACAAACCACATCAATTTCCCCTCCTACCCCTCTTTTTGTAATTACTCTGCCGTGTGTTTGATTGCCACTGAGGACCTACGCTTCATTTGCCGTGAGGTCATCAGCAGCCGTCAGAAATATGAATTTGATTTGTGTAGGAAGTGAGCGTGCTCCGTGTGTTCCCTGTGCATGTGTGTGTGTGTGTGTGTGTGTGTGTGTGTAAAAGGCGAGTGATGGGGGAACGTCCTTGGCTACCTGCTGTATGTTTCATGCAGAGATTAATACCTCCCTAGCAGCCATATCTGCTTAGCAGGAGGACCACTATGCGTAATTATCAGACAAATTTACTCTAGTTTTATGTGAAAAAGCACAAAGTGGAACACATTCCAGCTTATTTTTATTTTTTCATTTGCCATGACTTAAAGGGATGCATCAAATGACATGTTTTACTTGTTGCTGCTGCTGTTTTAGTTTTAACTATGAACCAAAAAGGTTAAAAGCATTTTAATCGGGATGGAAGCTTGTCAGTTCAGGTTAGCTACCAAAGAGTCATCCTTGCGGTTTTCCCACGGGGACAAAAGGTAGGTCCCAAAATAAAGTCAAATCCTTCGGTTTCATTCTCAGATCAAAACACAGGAGAATCCCACACAAGCCATACTTACAGGATTTGATTGAAATAGTTCATCTGCCGGCTTCAGTCATCACGCAGGTCCAGCCTGTGTGCTTTAAAATGTTGTTGCCGTACTGTCCATGCATTGTTTTTAATATATTCTTTGCAGGTGATTGGTGAAACAGAAGGAACTACTGCGACAGAGGACATGGCCGGACTAGGTCAGAGCTCCGCCAATCAGACGGAGGACAAGGACGGTGCAAGCGCTTCCCTCCAGCTACGGAAAAGAAAGAAACGGTTTGGTCGTAAGTGCGACTTTTCTGAGAGTGGAACCTTTTTTTTAAGAAATGAGGCAGAAACGTACCGGATGACGGACAAATTTGTTTGTGTTCAAAAGTCTCTGAGATTCATTTAAACAATGTAAACCCCATTAGATACACTATTGTGGACCGGGTACGTGACTGTAACCCCAAAATTCCACTATCTCTGCTCCGGCACGAACTCCGCAGCTAAAACGGTCCCGTTGTAGTCGATCAGAGCTGTTCCACTACTGTGGCCATGAGGCGCAGTGCGCCGCCCACCGTTCCGCCATGCGGCAAAAATAGGATCGATTCTATTTTTGCCGCATGCCAGAGCACCTCCACAGTCAATGGACAGAAATCGCAACCGCCCAGCAGGAAAGGGGGCAAGCACAACTTCCATTATTTCACAATAAATCGATAAACAAAAAGCGTTTTTTGTTTCATATGCACAGGTTTAACAACTTTTAACAACTATCAATGGCGGTTGAACTTTAAATGCACAAAAAGAAGCCATAAATACAGTTTCCACTATCAAAGCAGTCACACTTTGTTGATCCAAACACTGCTGATCTCTCAACACAAATGATGGGCAGATTAAACAGTTCATTTCGATGCTTCTCCCACACAACGGGTGTTTGGATCGAACTTCCGCGTTTATTGCTCGGACTGTATCGCAAGATCTCGAAAATCCCGCGCATGCCTGTTTGCGCACCTCAGGTCTCCGCACCGGAGCGGAGCCGTTGTAGAGCGGGTACAGTATAATTTGAGTTTGGAAGCGAGCGGCAGCGGAAAGCGGGGGCGGAGCGGAGCGGAGATAGTGGAATTTTGGGGTAATGGTGGCAGGATACGTCAGAATTGAACTACGCCCTCTGTTGCCCTGGTGGGGAATTGCTCTTCAACAATCCCCAGCTGACGGAGAAGTCCGAGAGCAAAACGCCTCTGGCAATGCGTGTGCGCCTCTGCCTCTGGAAAGTATAAATTAGGCGTAACATCCGTGAAGTGTCGTACACAGCAAGTAGCTGCTGTGACCGTGGATGGGCATGTTTCCCTGCATTGTGAAGCGCTGCGTTTCATATGTGATCCAGAAGCATTGTGACGGGTCAGTTAGCTGCATTTTTGCATCAAGTCTATTTTTTATGTTCTTTACTTCCAAAAAACATCAAGCAGATTGCACCCGACAGGAAGTCAAACATAAAAAACAGTGTTAAACATCCATGAACTTTCAAAATAAAAGTCATGTGCAGATTTCCAGTTGCTTCACTAGTAAATAATAGTTTACCTGTGAAACTAGCCAAGGTAACCAGGACAGAAAGTAAACCACAAACATGCTGTTGTCTTTCTCAGTGCTTGATTTTCATGTGAACTGCCCACATCACATGTGGTTTTGCAATTTTCTGGTCATTTCATAACCTCAAAAGCTGCGTGGAACGCTTTTGTTAGTGTTTCTCGAATGGAATACTTCCAGTTGGTAGGTAACTCGTGGGTAAAAGGCGTCTGTTACATTACGCGCCACTTATGCATCCAGTGGATGGTCGGGGTAACAGCAGAGGAAAGAAGGGTAGAAACGGGGGCTACAAAAACAGGAGTTCTGATGATAAGACTGAGAAACTAAAGACTAGATATACTGGGAGAGTTAATGAACCAGCTGAGTGCTACTGAACAAATCAGGAAAAAAGAAATAAAAACACTATTTATACAAAGAAAATGAGATATAACGTGTTTTCTTTGTTAGCTACAAAGTATTGCGCACACAGCGTTACAACCAATAATCCAATTTCTTCTTCCACATTTTTTTCACATTTTTTTTCCCCCTTCAGGAACTCATCGCATCGAGCCCGTTGCAGGAAGTGGGTGTGGCTCTAGTTTTGCACCAGACCAATGACATTGAAGACCAATAAGATTGTTTTAAATGTACTATGCAACTATACCGTAGTATTACTACTGAACAGAGAAACAAACCTGTGTGTGTGCATCAGTGCATATTCATTTCAAAGCTGAGGTTTGAAGAATCAGACCCAACATGGTTTTACTGTAATGTTTGGTTCTTGTGACCACATGCTGGTGAACATGACCAGTGCAGGTGAATGTGCATGCCGTTTGTGTCTGCATAAAGTCAATAAACACTTTTACAACTCTCGAATGATTGCAGGTTGTCAGACGTCCGGCACCGCCTCAACATAATGAAATATGAAGATTATTTAAAGAGCAAGTCACCCCCAAATCAACTTTTTTTTCTGATAAACTACATAATTGTGTGTTTAATCGTGCTGCAGTCAATAGTTTTACACTTTAGTGCATTTTAGTTAAAATTAAAATTTTCTGCCTAAAACTGTCGGTGTTGTGCCTTTGTCAGGTAAAAACTCTGCACTGCAATTGAATTTAAATCTGCCATCGCTATTGGCTAAGAGGTACCCTAGAACGTTAGCTGGTACCATATGATGTCACAATGTTGTGGAGAGCCTGTGTGTGTGTGTATTTGCTAGCGGCTGTGCCCTCTCGGTCTGCTGGGCAACAGCCTTTGTTGCATTTTTCAAACTGGAAGTGGGAGTGGAGTGATGCTCTGGTAGGTGGTGACTTGCTCTTTAAGTTACTAATCAGAAGTCGAGTGATAAAATATCAATTTTGGCCTCACATTAAACAGGATCATTTTCAGGCCAGCTTGATTTGTATTGAATATGTGTCTCCTGGCCGGTGCTTAGTGTAATGAACTGGCTCACAAATCAGGCTGTAATGGCCGTCTACTTACACATATTGCTTAATTAAAGGTTGTGAGCTTATTAGCATGTGTCTCTGGCATGGGGTGCACGAAGATGGGGAGCAGGAATGATGTCGTTCGGAGCTTGGCTTTAAAGGTTTTATGGATGGCTAACCTATCATACTAAAGCCATTGGCCCTCTGAAATCTGATCTTAATAACGTGTCATTTTCATTGATGATCATTTGCCTTTATGGGCGGCCATAACGGATCAAGTCCTGGGTCTCGCTGGACGGCCGCAGCAGCCCATTTATATCCCATAATAATTGTAAACACACCTGAGATTGGCCTTGAAGTTGCTCCTCCTCGTCTCCAAGTCTAAAACCATCGCGGTCACGGCCCTGGGGAGGGATGGACACACACACACACACACACACACACACACACACACACACACACTGGTCAACAGGCCTTTGATACACACAGCAACTATCTCAGATTTAAGACCGATGTCTTTCTGGTTTGTCAGCTGTTCCATGAAACAATTGATGTGTTAGCAGAGCTAAACACAAAAGTCAACGTTGACAGCTCCTATGTCAAGGTTTTCCAGAGTCTCTGTGTTCTGGGACCACAGAGGAAAAGTTCACAGTCCATTTGAAACTGTTGGTTTATTATTTCATGTGTGTCCACACAGCTGATCTTCATGACCTTGTTTATCTGCATTTTTGGCTCTCGCTCCAGAGAAGGTGCTCTCAGCTCAACAGGGACCTCTGATACTTAGGCCCTGTCCACACGTAGCCGGGGATCTGCCAAAACGTAGGTATTTTTCTACGTTTTGGCCTGTCATCCACACGAAAACGGAGTTTTTTCACAAGAAAACGGATCTTTTTAAAAACTCCGGCCAAAGTGAAGATCTGCGTTTTCTCCGTTTTGGGTGTCTGCGTGTGGACGGACAAAACCGGAGTTTTAAGGTCCGCAACGTCACTTTCCGCGACAAAAAAATGCTGACATCACGTGTGCGACCTGTGTTTACACTAGCCGACAGCATGGATGGCCTCAGAGCTGCACTCGCTTCATCAATTGTCCAAGCGCTTTTTGCTTGTTTGTTTTTGCAAGCGGAATTACTGCTCCTTGTGGAAGACCACAGACGAAGGACGAGGTTAAGAACGGGGGAAGTACTGCCGCCTACAGGTCTGGCATGTCCTTAACAACGTATTTATCCGGGTATGTGTGGACAGAGTTTTTTTTAAACGAGGTGGTGTGGATGCAAGTGTTTGGAGGGGCGGATATTGGTTTACAAAAAAACCCGGCTACGTGTGGACTAGGCCTTAGTAATCAAGTACTTTGTAGAAATGAGTGAAAACTTTACTACTACATTTGAATGATTTTTGTCCTAAAAACTATGAAAACGTGCAGAAACCCAGGACGTGTTGCATCCTGCTCTCGTTTTCCTGCCAGACCCAAAAAGGCAAACGTTCTCCAATTAGACATCACTCCATTAACAGTGACAGTGCTACACCCCCCAATTCAATCAGCCTCCTAATGAACATTAAACAGAGACGCTGCCGTTCAGACAGGACCATGAGCTCACTCCTTCTCCAAACCCCACTCGGATCCTCCATCTGGTCTTGTTTGTTTTAAACTTCTAACATCTCACATGCATTTCTCTCATTTCATGTTTAAAAAAAAAAACAAACAAACATATTTTTATCAACAAACATAAAACAATGCCTTGATACGAGGAGTGCAGAAACAGAGGAGGGCAAAGGTATTCACTGGTTCAAATATTTGACTGTTAATGACAAACACCATTTCACTGCAATTTAAATTTCAAATTGATCCCTGGGAGGAATTATTTCTAAGGGAGGAAAAACACGCCGCTAGGTCTGCGATCCACACATTTGCTGATTTAAGTTAAAAGAAAACCTTTTTGCAGAGCTATCATAAGGGAGAGCTGCAACTTTTTGAAGTGGGTGCCTGCATCTGCGCCGAGCCAGCCCAACCTGGGGATGTTGCCGGAGACGGCGAAAAAGAGGGGAAAATAAAACATAAAAAGAAAAATACCACTTTGTCTAATTCTATATTTATGTAGCCCTCAGCTTGAGGTGTTCACATAAAGCCGTTTGCATTCAGAAGTGCTGCAGCGATCGTTACGCTGCTCACTGAAACGGGCGACTCTGAAGGCAGCGTTGGCGGCTGCAGCTCAGACTGACTCAGTTGAATTAAAGTTGCTTAACTAAATGAAAATGAATCAAAAGCACTCTTCATCCTTTTTTCTCAATTATTATTATTCTTTTGCAAAATGTTTAACTGTAAGTTTTTGCCTTTGATTCACGTACCCTCAACTCTTGCATCTTATTTGTTTGACATTAATTAATATTGTGCTTTCAGAGGAAAGCCAGACAAAAGCAAAAATCCTCATTATTAACATGGATTCATGCGATCGTAAAATAAAACGTTATAAAGGCAAACTGTGAAAAATAGACTTTTTTACACTTTGCAGCCAATAATTAAATGTAAATATTCCAAGCCAGAGGAAATATTGACATATGCAGCACCACCGGTCTTATGCTGACATTTACGCCATCATGATATCACAATAAAATGCAAAACAGAAATAAATTCCAGACCTCACTCCGTTTTTTTCTGTCAAAGCCGTGTTCTTCTCCACTGACCCCAAACACAATTACCTGGTGCTTAAGCCAAAGACAACGCGCACGATCGGGGCGCGTGGAGATGTCGACATCACGCCATATTTTGGTGACATCTGGATATATCATGTGCCTCTACACACACATATTTATTTTTCTCTTCCAGAGCCATGCCAGCGAGGCAGATGTCCCCCTCATAGGACTCAAAAATTATTTCCAGTAAAAAAAGAAAAAATGGGAAAAAAATAGAAGGGTGAAGGGAGGGAAAATATATGAATATGCAAATCTTGTCACAGTGTGGAACCTTGTAATGAGAGGGAAATGTTGTCGCCATCTTTCATTATGCAGAGGTCATTGCTTCATGCCAGGCAGCTGGGCCCAGCTTCGTCTCTCTGAGGACCCCCACCTCACCAGCGCCTCACCCGCAAACTCACCTGCTATGTTCAGAGACACTTTGGATGCATGGTGCAAACATTAAGCATAGTAATTCTCATGTTTTGTTTCTATTATTTATTTATTTATTTCAGTAATGAAATTCAAACATTTGTGTTGTCTCTTGCACTAAAAGACAAAGAAAGCATAAGTTCTTCCTCAGATCTCTCTTCACCACAACAGATGTGTGTGAGATGATGAAACGAAAGGGCTCTGGGACAGAGCCCTGGGGCACACCAGCAGAAACAGGAAAGATATTGGATTTATACGACTTTGGTGGAACAGGCACAGCACCAGTTCATCTATAAATCATTCCCTTATTCGTGAACGAGACCCCAAAATACTTAAACTCCTCCACTTGGGGCAGGTCCTCGTCCTTGACCCGGAGAAGGCATTCAAGCTCTTTCTGACCCAAGACCACGGTCTCGGATTTGGAGGAGCTGATTTTCATTCTGGCCGTTTCACACTTGAAGATCTGATCTGATCAGTTCTGATGAAGCCAGCAGGACAACATTATCTGTAAAAAGACCTGATCCCTAAGTCACCAACACGGATCTCCTCAGTGCCTTGTCTGCACCAAGAAATCCTGGCTATATAAGGTATGAACATAACTGATGACAAAAGAAAGCCTTGGCAGGGTTCAACTTTCACCAGAAACAAGTCCAACTTCCTGCTGGTGAGGCCGACCAAATTCAGACACTGTTCTTACAGGGACCTAATAGCCTGCATCAGGGGGGCATTCCTGATAGAGTACCCCACAGGACAAGGTTGAATGCCTTCTTAAAGTCTACAAAACACATGTAAACTGGTTGGAAAAATTCCAATGCAGCCACAGGACCCCGCTAAGGATGGAGCTGGTCCAGAGTCCCACAGCCAAGACGAAAACCACGTTGTTCCTCCTGAATCCAAAGTTCATCTTCCCATTGAACCCTCTTCTCCGGAACCCGTGAGCAGCTGCAGACATGGAGCAGATAGAAGACCAGAAAGAGTCAGACAATATTAACACCCATGGCTGAACGAGTATAAAGTTACGCAACAAACGTTTTATTTGTGGACATAAAGCAAAATTATGGGAAAAGTTGGTTTGGAGGTGATGAGGTGGAAAAAGAGACAAATGTTTCTGTGTTAAAACGTCTCTGAAATACATAAACACACAACAGTATCACTATCATAGACCAGAGATGTCGCTGCAATGATGGCAGGGACCCCCTCTGTTGTCCTGGCGGGGAAATGCTTTGCAGCACTCCCCAGGTAACAAAGTCTGAAAGGAAAATATCTCCGACTCCGCACCTGAGCTGACGGAGAAGTCCAAATCAGGTTTTAGACGTGTCAGTGGGATCAATAATTTATTTATAGTTGTGTTAAATTTTATTTGTAAATACACAAACTACAAATGTGGCCAGAATGATCACGTAAACATTTCCTCGTGTGTCTGTGTATAAGTCTTGTGAGTTAATCACGCCTGTGTTGTGTTTTAGATCACCAAGACAGCTCGCTGCTCTGCTGTCTC